GCCTTTTCTATGCAAGTTGGGTCAGGTATGACACATATGAGCTTCCTATGAGCTGCTTCCTATGAACTGCTATGAGCTGTCTCTAGGAACACTGCAGCAAGCTTGAGAACCTTTAAAGAGAAATTCCACTGATTTAAAACTTTTTAAAATTTCTGGTTAAGATGTAACATCATTCAGAGTAGTTTGCTCCATTTTAGAGAAACCGACCAACTTAGAATTTTTCACAGTAGTGACTTCTGAAGAGTTTAAGAGCTCCCTCACAGAAATGTATTCCATTAAATGTGTATTAATACACTGCCTGAGGACTGAGACATTGTCTTAGCATTGTTTTGGGATAAAGTTTTGGCCTAGAATGTATTTTAATCCATTCATGGCGGAAAGGTACGTGCAGTGTGCTCTGAGGCTATGTTTGTGTTGTACTTCATGAACCCTGGTTCCTGTGAACTGCAAAGAAATTCGAGACAGTATGTTTCTCTACATTTAACCATTTCACTTCAAACCACTCAGAATGGCTTTGTTTATATTGCAACTACTGAATTCTGCACAATTTTTTGAAAATTGGGTTGGATTCCCCTTTAAGCACTGTAATACAGCGTAAGTAAGAGACTGATAGTTTCTGCCATCAAATATGCACAGTACTCAATGCTGGAGTGCCTCAGTTAGATCTGAAGATCTGTAGTGAAACTGTCTTTGAAGGTAAGGTTATATAAAATTAATATCAGCAGTATTCAGAAAATTAGGCCCTAATTAATCACAGCATGAAAAGAGGTATAATTGAAATGAAAATTGACGACGACGTGGAAGATGGAAAGCAAAGACTTTCCGTACCAGGGATACATTCATCAAAATGTATGCTTTTTCTGTTCATCTGAGAGCATTTTAATTATTTTTTTAGCACTTCACTGCTATCTTCTTACCTAATGGCCGTACTTCTTCAAAGAGCTTTTATCCCCAAGAACCTGTAACATTTGGGTAGATGAAAGCCTAGCGAGCTGACCCCAGACAGTTCTCTCTTATGAGACAGTAACAAGAACCACAGGACAATAACAGTCTTATCACATTTGTACTCATGGCAAATTAATGACCTTTGATCTGACTTGTGCCTCCAGACAAAAGACCATTAATAAAACATTAACGTTATCCCTCAAAGAATGTGAACTTTGGGGGTAAAAGATGTCACTGTGTACCTACTGAAGCGTGCTTTTGTCATAGACACCAACACCACTCACTCACTTTAATATGCCTGTACAAAGCTTCTGGCATTGAGATTTAATTATCTGGAATGATTTTTGTTCCTTTTTTTCTCGAGTGCAGTTTCGCATACAGTGTGTGTGTGTGTGCATTAAGTTGAAGAGTTGCGGTTTAATTAATCACATGCAGATCGAGAGAAAAGGGGAGTTTTCTAATCACAAATATAGGAACTAATTAAGATAATTCTGCCTGGATTAAAGGCTCATTGATTTATTTAGATGAATACTGCTTTTGTTTTCTTTCGTTCTCATTAGTGGATTAAATGATCCATCTCAGTTGTTTTCCTTTTCAATTCCATCTTAATTTCCCACTCATTACAAATGTATCTGTATGCCACCTTGGGGCAATGTTTTGGAAAGTTTTGATCCTTATTAATATTTTAAATAATCCCCTCTCATCCACATATTGATAGACAGATCAACTTCCATTAAAGCTCTGATCAGGAATTGGCAGAAATGAACCTCAAGGCAACAACAAGGCTGGCTAAGAGTTTACTAACCAAGAGCACAGTAATGTCACAGATCACCAGGGCTGCAACTAATGATTACTTCTATAATCAGTTAATATTGTTGACTTTATTTATATTAATGACTAATTTAAGAAATATACTCCTGTTTAAGTAGAAATCAATTTAGATAATGGCACAAGTAACCTGAATTTGAAAATCCATCACCCCAAGTATCAAATTGCTTTTGTTTGCACTGCTGTTACATTAAGTTCTCGGCTATCAGCTAAATCAAGTATGACTGAATACAATAAATTATAGATTTACTAATACTTTTAACTATTTTTTAAATTCTCCAAACAGTTAATAAAAATAATATCCATAAAAAATAATGTCATTTTCTAGCTATTTTTATTTTTCAACTTTCACCTGTTTAACTGGTGAAAGTTGAACTGATCAGGTTTTCTTGATTCTAGCACACATGTAAACATTCTGTCTCCCATTTTTGTCATCATGTATATGATTCTTAGTGGAACAACTGACACATCATTGGTTAAGGATTTCTGCAATAAACGGACTTACAAAATAAATATTACTATGATTATGGCTGGCATGAACAACTGTGAATGTTATACTGTATATTTTACAGTTAATGGATAAAGCATGCAACTTCATCATCCTGAAAACATCCCTAAACATTTAGCATCACCCTATTTTTGTCCTGCCTGAGACGACTGGACGTTAGTCTAGAGTGTAACCATTTCATTACTGAACTGCTACCTCAGTGTAGCTTTAAATACATTTGTTGTACTCAACATCTCTGAACTGTTTATCTTCTACTGTAGCCTAATGTTATGTTTAGTTGGCTGATATTAGCTGCTTAGAGGAATCAGCCTTACCCTAAAATCTTATAAGTCGAGTGCTTTTGTTTCCTTTGTGCGTCATTGTTGTGAGTTTTGTGGGTCTTGATTATATATATATTATATATATATATATGTATATATATATATATGTGTGTGTGTGTGTGTGTGTGTGTGTACACTGAAATCTGTCAAAATTAACGAACATATGAAGCAATATTTTGAACTTTTTGTAAGTATACGACACAACAATTAAAATCCACATTGACTTTTTTATAACCATTATAGTAATTTTATATAACACCTATACTTTGTATGCAAAGGTTTCAAATTACACATTTTTACATGTTCAGTCCAATGACCTGAATTGTCCTATACGTTTCTAAGCAAAAATAAGTGAACACATCCTCTATGGAGAACACAGTTCTGCATATTTTAATGCACAAATATTGTTTATTTAATTGAATTTAACATATTGGGGAAAAGAATACCAAAATGTGTTGTGCGCAAAAGTTATGGCACAGTATATATTTTATATTTATATTTTTTATATATTTTCCCCCCCAGTATGTTCACTCAACAAATAAATAGAAAAACTGTGTTGTCCTTGATGTCCATTCGTAATGTTTGTGTGGGTTTATGCACCAAAAAAAATCTTATGTATTACTTTTACATGACAATATTCCAACTTCTCTTTATCCCTTAGAATTAAACAAAAAAAATAATTTGTTACTGTGCCTTTAAGAGTGATACATATATTAATTCAACAGTGCTGAATGGCTGTCCTGTATTGTGCCTAATTCAAAAAGCAATCTGGGCTGAAACGCTTATCTTTATAACTTCAGTTTGATTGGCAGGGCTAAACTGCTGGAGACAGAATAGATGGACAAAAATGGACAGTTTGGACTGGGGAGTGAATTGTACATTTTTAAACTTTAGCAACATGTACATATTTAATATTTACAGTTTTTTGAGTGTGGTCTTGGGTGCCTCTCATGTCACCTTAGTGTAACAATTGCCATGACTGGGGCTTTAACAGATCAGTATATCATATGCAGAGCAATTAGTTCAGATTCCAAGCACTCGCACTTTCCTGCAGTATACGACAGTTTCTCCAAGTCAGTATAATTTTATTTCACTGCATACGTTCGCCTCTTTTCTTGCCTGTTGAAGCTACCTGTCTGACAGTTCTTCCTGGTGGAAATCTTGTAATGCCACAAAAAGGACATATCTCTCATTAAAATTAACATAGCGCAGTAATAAGTTCCCTAGCTGCACACCAGTGTCAGGATCATTTTGCTAATCTCCTCCCTGTGTTCTCTCCTGTGTATAGGGGAACGCAGCTGACAGGGTGAAGCAGGTTCAAACTGCACAGGAGCAGCTGCGAGTGACATTTGCTCTCTAATTTCGACTGTTTGTTTACCAGAGAGTTAGGCTGGGGTTAATGGCTTATCACTTCTTGTTCAAGAACAAATAATTTCATTATTTAATACTTGACTGTGACAAGGATTCTGCTAATTTGCAACTTGTTTTTTTTCATGAAAGATGTCTTGAAGGGAATAAACAACCTTAGAGGGCTTATGTACTGTAAAGTTGCCTTTATAATTGATGGGTGGAGTTCTGTGCATTTGTCAGTTTTTAGTCTCCGTTGATTTCACTTCATCTGAGCAGTTTTCCCAGAAGCATCACTTTGCAAAGAACATGCAGGATCAAATATAGACATCAATCAGATGTTTCTCACAGCTATCAGAGCTGAGTTAACTTAAAGTTTCAGATTATGATTCCAACCTGGTGACCCACATTTTTACTATAAATCTAAAAGTGGGCTGGACAATGATCTATTGGCAGTAACCTAAAAAACCCATGCTTGAAGTTCCGACTTACTTATTTACATAGGCCTTCATTTATTAGCGTTAAGGGATAAGCATGTTGCTGTGGGCACTTGGGGCTTCTACAAGAAATTGGCTTCAAGAAGAATTAGTTCTTTTATGTTTAATGCTTTTAAATGATTAATTAAATAAAATAACTAAATATCTTAAAATGGGAGAGTTGCTTTCAACTGCCATTGTATGCTAATGGCTGTTGGTAACACTATTTCAAGGGCACCTACATATGGACTTCATCACACATATATAAGCAATGAATAATACATAAAGCAAAATACTGTACAAGTGGAATACCTAAGTGGTTACAAACAGCTTAAGCGAGTATTTGCAGGAAACAATCCCTTATTCCATTTTTTATTGATCAGTTTAAGTTGGTATCATTTTTTAAATTAAATCCAGTCTTTTGATCTTCATTCCATGAGAAATATGAAGTCTACATTTTTATAAACTGTCTTCACTGACGTGACCCGAGCGCTGCTCTGAGATTAATTTTAGCCTGTATCTGTTGCATAATCCTATTGTTCCATGCTCATTTGTCCTGTCTCTCTCTTTCCGTAGTCCTCGTGCTCCTGATCCTGACCCTAAAGCGCCACAGAAAGGGCCAGCGTATGTCTGAGGATGAGGAGGACATGCGCGACAACGTCATCAAGTACAACGACGAAGGCGGGGGCGAGCAGGACACCCAGGCCTACGACATGAGCGCCTTACGGAGCCTCTATGACTTTCCCGAGGTGAAAAACTCAGAATCTGGCGCCGACCTGCGCTCCCTGCCCCAGTGGATTCAGAACCGGGTGACGGGGGACGGAGGGGCGGCTGACTTCTCCCTCTTCAAAGGCTACATCCGCAAGAAGGTGGAGCAGGCGGACGCTGACCTGTCGGTGCCACCGTATGACTCATTCCAGACATACGCCTTCGAGGGCAGCAGCTCACCAGCGCTGTCGCTCAGCTCCATCCGCACACTGTCCACCACCTCAGAGCAGGACTTCTCCTACCTCAGTGATTGGGGGCCACGCTTTAGGCAGCTGGCAGGTTACTATGCCCCAGGACAGCCTGAGGAGGAGGGTTCCTAGCACTGCCCTTCATCCTACACCATGTTCTCACTAAAGATGATTCTTGCTCCATAGCCCCTGTTGTCCAGTCCTGGAACTGCCACTACCTACCACTGTCCTCCACCAGTGCTCTCCTAAGACGATCCTTGGAACCCAGTCCGATGTTAGGGTCCCAATACCACCCCTTGGACCATGTAAAAGCCACAAAGGGCTTGCCTGTTGAAAAAGTTCATGACAAAAGGTGGCAGAGTAGCAAGGAATGAACAGGCGGCAGCTGAGGAGTTGGGCAAAGCTCCAGTAAGCTGGCACCTGTCAGAGTGGTACAGGACAGCCAGGCTGTGCCATATGCACAACCGTCATTGTTTCCTTTCTAAACAGTCTTCTTTTTTCGTGCGTGTACTTTCCTCGCTCCTTCGGCAGAGACAGACATAGACTAAATCACTCACCTGGACAGAACTGGGGAACGTCTTTTACCAAGCCAAGGCAAATTATCCCCAGAAAAAAACATGTATTTATTATCAAAAAAAATGAAGATATTTATGTATTTATTGATTTGTACTTATTTATTTATTTATTCATCCTGGTCAGACATACAGAACACAGGAATGGACTTATTTATAGAAGAATACTGAAGTGCACTGAATGAATGGGACATCTCTGAGACCAGTAAAAAAAAGACTTTTAAATGCATTGACAGAGAGACCTGGGCCACAGTAATGAAGAGAAAAAAAATTTGTATTTATTTTTTAGATACCCTTTTGTAAAATACAACCCAACCCTGGGAGAGGGAAGTAATGTGTGTAAGAGACTGTGCGAATGGGAAAAAATTATGTGCCAATTCAGTCAGAGGATTGTTTTTGTCCTGCCATACATTTCATGCATTGTGTTGCTTTTAACTTGATTATGCAAGTCATGCGTTGTGGGCAGTGAGATGTTTGTTGAATTTTGATTTTGAATCTGTATTTTAAAGGTAACGTAAGAGGCAACAAGGTACAGGTAACAACGACAAAAGTTCTCCATCACAGGTTTTCTGTCCAATGATGTTTTACGTTTTTTTTCCTGTAACCTGATCCATGTTCATATTCCGAATTTGTGACAGTGTTGATTACATTCTAACTCGGTTTCAAGACCTGATGATTTGGTTTTATTGTATTTATTCCATGGTATTGGTTAAGGATGATGGATGAGATTGATTGCTTAGGGCCTGGTTACACTGCACCAATCTTGATCCAAGATTACATTTGTTCTGAATGAAATCTAACAACTGCTGCCTGAAAAGATATGCAGAGATACATGTGCTGTTTGCTCAGGCTGGAAAATGACTCCCAGCAATTCATTTATAATGGCACTAGTATCCAGTATGCTATTTTCAGAAGCACACGCAGATCTCATGCAGAAATAATCATGCCAATCAAAACAAGAATTTTCAGACATGCTGATTATTTCAGTTTGTCGCTCCATGATGTCACCTGTCACTTTGAACTAGCTGTTCTTGAACTTACTGTTTTAACAAGCATCAGCTAGTTGAATGTGACAAAATACAATGGAACGTGCTGCTCTTGAACAAAGTGTTAAGAATATGTACATTATATTTAACTTGTCACCTTGAAGTGGCTGTTTTAGAGCATAACGTTTTAACATCTGTAAGACTGTAAGTACACTGATTTGCCTTGTGCCATCAGTGTATCCAGGCCTTATAGTGTATACACAAAGGTTATCATCACCTACAACCAATACCAGAATCCATTCTAATGTCAACCCTAACCTGCCAATGTATGGATAAAATGTACAATTGAAACCAATAAATATTTAAGTTTTTTCTAGACACATTCTTGATACTTTATAGGCCACAAGGAGCGACATCCACATTCAACAGTCACCAGCGTCCCATAATCTAATCCGGTTGTTGGCTGTAGTGTCCCTGCTTTACCAAACACTGTACCACCAGATGTTTTCATTTTACTTTCTCTCATTTTGCTCTTACTCACTTGTCATGACCGTCTTTGATGGATGAGCTCCTTTGGCAGCTCCCACTGCATGTAAGCATTCGCCTCTAGTCTCTGCCTAGGCAAGGCAATTTTTGAGACATGTTTCAAACAAGGCCAACGCATGCGAGTGCAAGAAACGGGCCTAATTGAATCACAGACGCAGACATGAATGACCTCAAAACGCCATGTAGGACTTTTAATACATGAATGTTCAGTCGCCTAATACGAGAGGATGTGGTAACTGTGCCGAGGTACTGCGGTGTACGATGAGTCTAAACTGCAAGTCCATTATTAAAAGCCAGGAAAGGAGATGAAGACTTGGAATGGCGTGTGCCTCGGCTGCAAGACTCCACTGACAGTTGTCCATGAGAGATCGTTACGGTAATGGGGGGAAAGGAGTCCCAGAGCCATAATGAAATCCTCATCAAGCAAATGTCACCGGAGAGGCAGGCAGTGACTAATGTGATGACGGAAGGGGACGACTATGTACTGCTTAAGGGCAGAGGGCATATGGGTCTGTTCGTGGTCACTCCATACTTCCCTCACATTAAAACGTCCTGCCTCGGTCTGGAACCCTCCGCTTTTCATTAACGGACTGCACTTGTTAATGTATTAATGTGTTGTAATAAATCACAGCTCCGGTTCCCTTTTATCCGCCAAGGGCAACCTGGGGACCTTTCGTCTTCATTTCTGCTACGACTGTGCGGGTGATGATTGACATTGCTCTTGGGCCCCTCGCTTCCTCTTACTTCCTTCTGTGGGCTGGACAGATCACTGAAATTGATTACACACTGGGAGAACCAGGGATGTTCGGTGGAATAAATCAGCATGAAAAGTGATATATTAATAGAATAGAACATCATTATAACCTGACAAGAATAGGCAATGTTTATGCACACGAATAAACACTATTATCTGTATTTACGATCAGCTACACTAAACGCAATCCGTCGCAGAAAATGAAATGGAATATTTACATTGTTTATATGGGAATTGTTCGAGGTTTATCACCAACTTCTACCACCAACTCTGATCTGCATTCAGTAGCTTAATGAGGATAAATACAAGTCAATTAAAAGTCCATCTCAAAATACCTCCCAGACAAGCATCTAATTAATATTCGGAAAAACACAAGGGACACACCGAAGTCAAACCATCATGACAAGGCAAGGCATCAGCCACAGGAGCTGCTGGTAATCTTTTTCTGGTCTATCAGCATTATCTCTACACAGTCTACAGTTGACTTACGCTAAGAAATGCAGGTTCTCGGCTGTCAAAGCTTCACACTTTAATGCCTCCTTACATTAAAGACTTTTTGAGCCCTGGCTGCACGGCGGCAATGACAATGCACACACCATAATTAACGGGAGAAATCCACTTCGCCCTGAAACCAAGGATCAAAGGAGCCAATTTACACCTGGGCCTTCTAAAGTCATGCAAGCCTGGAGGTGCCATGCACGTGGTATAACTAACAGCAGTGCAGATGGGAAGTTCACACTGGGACCTGTACTGCCAGGGAACCCAGTCACATCTTTATTGGACTCCTTAAATCATTATTCATGCAATTTTAGACCCATTACTCAGGAGTGGCTTTGATAACGTAATAATACACTTCAACCATTAGGATTACTATTAGGCCCTGTTTACACTTGGCATTAAAATATGTGACTGGATGTTGGATGCTGGACAAGTGTTATTTGTAGACATCCAAATGTTTCCAACAGGCTTACAAATAGAAAGTTGAATTTGCAGTCTATGTAGAACAGTACACCCTCTCTCTGGCCTGATGTCAAGGGGTCATTTAATGCCGCAATGCCCTACCAACAAACCACCATGCCCTACCATCATATATATGCAAATGCTTCATCAATTAACACAGGAGTATTTGCAGGCATCACTTTGTATTGGCTGCATTTTTGGGATGCGTGGTTTGTTGTAGGGAGATAAATTAGCAGACATTTCCTAAATGTACAGTTTTGTACAGTACAACTTTTGGTGATTTGCTATAAAAGAGGTTCTCCTGTTGATTTTCTCCTGAATATGAGGCTCCTACAGGCAGATCTACCACAGATTTCTAGCACCTTTCCCCCCCTTAGAGGTGTTTTTTTTTTTTGATTCCCACCTCTCCACTTAACCCTTGCCACTCCTGACTGATTTTAACCCATGTTTTTCCATTGGACTGTGCTTCATTTGTGGCTGCTGAGCAAAACATACATGATTTATTTTTTATCTGTAACTTAGAATGCCTGTAATGTTCTGCACTGCAACTGCAAAATGTTTCATAAAGCATTACACACATCATAGGATATATACAGGCTCTGCTTACACTGCTGCAGCACCACAACGGCCAGATTTTAAAGAGTAAATTTTGAAATGATCCAATGAATATTTGAATAGTGAAGCTACATCTGATTTTTTTTTGTCAAGCTGCATTTGATACATTTGTCTTGACTATCAGATGATCCAATCACCACCATGATTGTATGTTAATGGCAATTTTTTTTTCATTGCAACTGTTGCGAAGTAACAACTTAAGCAAAATTCCTTTCTATATAATGAGAACTGTAGTTTTTTAGAATGTGTTATTTATATCAAGTTATTTTGTATGCAAGCAAAAGGCCACATTATAAATCAGATGTGTGTGTGTGTGTGTGCGTGTGTACATATGTATGTAAGTAATCGAGCTAATGTTAGTAAGGCTGCTAATTCATTGTCATTTCCGACATGTCTAAGTTAAATCAGCAACACAGTCAATGGGTTTTCTTTTTCAGTATTTAAAGTTGCTGCGAAACATCTCTATGTGTGGGCAGAGCATGGGTAGGTCAATTTGAAACACAGCAATATTTAGGAACCAAGCAAATTATGCTATTTACATTTTTTTGGCACTGAGCACCATAAGGTCCTGCTTATACTACAATGTGTCTGCGTTGGCCTGAATCATGCATGACCACCACCTTGATATAGATCATACTGCACAAATCAACTGGCTTCATTTCACAAGTTCAATGTGCTGACTTGCTTCGTCTCACTGCACATATCATAGCTTATTCGTTGCCAAAAATCCACATTATCGGAGCATTTCTCAGCATCTGCATGTGCTTATCCACTTCGCTCAATCTGAAAGCCCTGCGTAACTGACAGCTGTGCTGCTGCAGACAAACTATAGGCTAATCGAGACACGAAATGCTGAGTTTCCTTCGCTACACTTTAACTGAGACGGTGGGGGGGGGTCGAGCCATGTGGAGTTGCCGGTAATCTGCGATGGAAAAAACTCAAACAGCTGGAATTGTCTTGGCCCCCCCGCCACGTTCCAGTGAAGTGTAGTATTTCCCCCATGCTGGGCTTATTTCACACTTCACCATGTTCTCCATCAGCACCACTATAAACAGATAAAAAAACAAAAAACAAAACAAAAAAAAAACGGTCCTGCCGGCGGACCATGCGCTTCTGTGACGCTGCGATTTTAAATGCAACTTCAAAGACATTTAGGTGAACGTGACGTAGGCGAGATAAAAGGATCTTCTTGCTTTAATTGATCATTAAGAAGAAAGAAAACAAACAGCATTTCAAAAGATCTTAAAGAGATGTTATCAGTCTGATCAGTGTTACGCAAACTGCGCTTAATTTGTTTATTACGGCTGTTATGGAAATAAAAGGTCTGAAGTGTTTTGTTTTGGGAATCATAATCCCGGTGGGCAAAGTTTCGGTAACATTTTATTTTCAGGGACACATATT